TTGGAGAAGAGCAAGGGGAGATGAGGGAGGGGGACAGAAAGACGGAGAAGGCTAAAGAAAGGGTGGGTGGGAGAGAGAGCAAGAGATCAAGAACCCCTCCCTCCCACACAGCAAGGATGATGATGACTCCCTGCTTTGCGGGTACCGGATTTGAACTCAGGGCCTGGGTGCTATCCCTGAGGTTTTGTGCTCAAGGTGAGCATTCTACCACTTGAGCCACAGTGCCACTTCCGGCTTTGGGGGTGGTGGGTCAGAGATAAGGGTCTCATGAACTTTCCCGTTCAGGCTGGCTTTGAATCTCAATCCTCAGATCTCAGCCTCCTGAGGAGCTAGGATGACAGGCGGGAGTTTAGGGTGCCTGGCAAGCCCGTTTCTAAAGCGCAACCCAAAGAACAACCCTGAAAAGCTGGGGCTCCCCAGCTGGGCTGGAGCAGGTTCTGCTGGCGTCCCTGGAGACCTCTCAACACCCGCCTCTGACCTATGGAAAGTTCTTCTTCCACTCTCTCCATAGGCCACTGCTTGCCAGCCCCCCACCCACCCAGGGCAGGAGAGGCCCCATCTTTCCGTGCGTCTGAGGAGCCCGTCAGTCTTCTGCGAATTCTATCAAATAACCTTTGAAAAAAAAATGGACTGGGAAGGTAGCTCAGTGGTAGAGTGCTTGCCTCACATACACAAAGCCCCAGGTTCGATTCCTCAGCACCACACACAGAGAAAAAGCCAGAAGTGGCGCTGTGGCTCAAGTGGTAGAGTGCTAGCCTTGAGCTAACAGAAGCTCAGAGACAGTGTCCAGGCCCTGCATGAGTTGAAGCCCCAGGACTGGCCAAGAGAAATAAATAAATGAAGAGAATCCTTGGTGATGTTGGAGTTTGAAATCTGAGCTTGCTAGGTAGGTGCCGTACCACTGAGCCAGGCCTCCAGTCCTTTCTGGGCTGGCTGTGTCCCATCTGAGGACTTGCCTGCACCGTGATCTTCTATTATTCACTTTCTGGCAGCATGCTCTGCGTTTTCGGTTGAGATGGGTTCTCCCAGAGGGATTTTGGTTTTTTTTTTTTCTTCCTCAACCTGGAACCTCGATCCGTATCTCGAGAGTGACAAGTGTGCACTGCAGGTGCCTGGCTTTCAAACGCTGAGAAGTAAGAGGAACAGAACTCAGAATCCTCTTTGTCCAGCCAAGCAAGGATGTAAGAATCTCTCAAGGGAGTTCACCCAATGGTTCAAGCATGGCCAACCAGTCTTTTAGAAAGTTCCGTAGGCTCTCTATCAGAGATGTATTTAATTAGCCCTGTTTATCTATTTATCATCTATCAATCAATCTATCATCTGTATAGTTATCTCTCTATATCATCTATATATCAATCTCTATCAACCCATCTCTAGCATCTATCTAATCTATCATCTCTGTATATTTATCTCTATCCTCTGTTTATCTTTATCATCTATCTCTATTATCTCTATCTATCTGTCTATCTGTCTGTCTGTCTATCAATCTATCTCTCTGAGACACAGGGCCCTCTTACTTGGTTCACTGCTAAGAACTAGCTCCCACAGGTCTAGAACCCCAGGGCTCCACATTTCAGTCTCCTCTCCCTTTCGTTGGCCCTGAGGTAGGGTGGGCTCATGTTCCTGGGTGGTGGAGATCTGGAGGGAAATGGTCCTGTGCTCCCCCCCCCCTGCTGGCCAGCTCTGTCCTCCTCCCTCTGTCCTCCCTGGAGCCCACCTCCAGGAGGAGAGGAACGCCCGGGCTCTGCCAGCGGTGTTATTATGTTATCGCTTTCTCCCGTTCCCTTAGGTACGGGTGGAGGGTGTTGGAGGGGTTCCGTGGGTCAACAGCATTCACTTCAAGGGCCATTATGAATAAAATCGGGCCATTAGGAAATGCCCCTGTAAAGTGGCCACAAACTTGGGTACTTCGGTATTAACCAGTGTGTTTATAAGCAGCGTTCTTTAAGAGTGTGCATTTTGAATAATGCTACTTTTCTGGTGATGCTCTTGCAATGTTTATTATTGTTGTTGCTGTTTTTTTTTATTAGTGCTGTTCTGCTGGCTCCAAATTCCTGGGTTCAAGTGATTCTCCTACCTCAGCCTCCTGAGAAGCGGAGACTGCAGGCATGTACTATAGTACCCAGGTCTTACTTGTTTTGTTTTTCTGTTTTTTAATTTGACATGAACTATTCTTATTTTAACTGAAGCTAGAGCATGTCCTGGAGTTTCTGTAATTCATTGACGCTTTCCTTCTTCTCTGAACAGTTCTTTAATTTTGAATTGAAAAAAAAAAACCCAAAAGATACAAAATATTTTTACTTAGTCATTATGACATGTCTACTATTGTGTTTTTCCCCCACTTGGAAAAAAAAAAATTTCTCCACCACATTCTCACTCTGTAAAATGAAAACAGCTCAGAGAAGGATGGATTTTTGAGGCCTGCCATCTGTATTTTTCTTTCTTTCTTTTTTTTTCCGCTGTAAAAACAAATGGTCTCTAACAATTGCTGATGTCAAACACGATCTTCAGGCTGGTGAAATACAGTAAGCCTGAGAACGAAGAAGACCACTGGAGGGAGACGTTTGATTTCACAGAAAGCACCGTGACCTTCCTTACAAGTTAACTTCCACGGAGGAAAATATTTGGAATCATATTTGACTCCAGGATTAAGAGGTCAAGGTGTCACACACACACACACACACACACACACACACACACACACACACACACACACACCAGCTGCCTTCGTGAACAGGAAAGCAAACCAGAGAACCCCACATATTCTCACCAGGGATGGCAAATGCTCGCTGCCAAGAATGCAAGATCTGAAGCCCTCAAATAGTTCATGTGTTGAACCAGTCATAAAACATTGGAGGATTTGTTTGAAATTCCTTACTGGCAAGTGTGGACCTCCTGCTGAAAGCAGGCCCAGGGATTAAAGGGTTTGTTTATTGTCTCTAACACAAACAGCTTTTAAAATGTGACCTATTTTGATATCGTTGACCTGGAGGAAAGTGAATCAAACCATTCAAATTCCTTTGGGAGGTGGGGGGGGGGGGAAGAAATCAATCATCTCCCTGCCCCCAAATATAAAACCTCAGCCACTTGTGGTTTCAAAGATAATGGTAATATAATACAATATATAAAGATAATAGTAATAGAATCTATATATAAAGATAATAGTAATGTAATAGAAAGATAATGGTAATATAATTCAATTTGTGTGTGTGTACCAACCAACTTTGGTTTTGGCTCCCCAGGTTTATCCCTAAGATCAGAGCCATCACCCATAGACGAATTGCTTCTTGTTAAAGCACTGATGATCTAACCTGTCCCTGGATTCCCAGACCAGACAATTAAGAAAGAAAAGACCAAGCAAGGAGCAGCCACAGGTGACAGGCCGTATGCAAATGAGTGGGCGGGGCTGTGTTTCCATCCTCATTTATGATGGCAGAATTCAGAACTCCATATCATAATGGCATGATCCAATGTGCTTTTGATTCTTCTCTCAACTATTGGCAGGTGTAAGAACATTTTTTTTTTTTGATTCCCAAACTGTGGAAAAATAGAAAAAAAAATGGGTTGGAGGGTATGCTGGTTGTCAGTTGCTAAATCCTGTATTGGCATATACTATTTTTCTTTTTTCTTTTTCTTCTTTTTGCCGGTCATGGGTCTTGAACTCTGGGCCTGGGTGCTGTCCCTCAACTCTTCAGCTCAAGGCTAAAGCTCTACCACTTGAGCCACAGCACCACTTCTGGCTTTTTCTGCTTCTGTGGTGCTGAGGCATCGAACCCAGAGCCTCCTGCATGCAAGGCAAGCGCTCTACCACTGAGCCACCTTCCCAGCCCATACTACTTTTCTTATAAGATGATGCTGGTAGCGACCAGCATCATGGGACCAGGTTCTGGGATTCATTTCAGTTAGTGGAGTAAACAGGTTTTATTAGTCCCACCTCACTGGTGGTTTTTGAGCCCTTGGTTTCAGTTACCCAAGGTCCATGATGAGCTGAAAACAGGAGATGGAAAACTCTAGAGCTCAACAACTCAGGAGTTTTAAATGGTATGTTGTTCCCAGCAGGGGAATGGAATCCTGGGCTGTCCGGCCCCATGCTGGCTGGCTGCCAGAGAGGTGGCAGGTGGCTGCGTCCCCGCTGCTGATTTTATTTAATACCGACCAGGAGGAATGAAGCTCCAAGTTTCTCAGGGCATCTTGTTACTATAATGTCACTAGTGGTTCCTGGTGTTCTGTGTGCTTTGCCTTTACATTTTCCAGAAGACTTGTTGAAAATATTGTTTGTTTGTTTGTTTATAGGAACAAAGAGACACGGCAAGGGTTAGTCGTCTCAGCTGCACAAGGAGGAGGAGGTAAAAGAGGATCTGGGTCTAAGCCTGGGCCGGAACAGAAGCCTGAAATCCTACCTAAGAAAACAAAACTAAAGCCAGAAGGGGCTGGAGGGGTAGCCCAAGAGACACACAGCACCCATTCAGCAGGCCTGAGGCCCTGAGATCAAACCCCACTGACACCCCGAGTTCAAACCCCACTGATCCCCCCCCCAAAAAAAAGATAAAACACAAGAAATGAAAGTGAAAGAAAATAGGAGTACTGCAAAAACAAACACATAGATAAACAGATAGATAGATGGGTGAGGGGTAGAGGATGGATGGATAAAACTGACAGATGAACAGGTGATAGATAAGACATAAATAGATGGACAGGTGGGGATAAGAAGAGGAAGGATATCTGCTAGATGACAGACAAATAGATGATAGGCAAATAGACAGATAGACTGATAGATAATTGATCCATAGGAAAAATAGAGATAGGAGGAGCAGAAGGCCCAGGCCTGCGGGCTGCTGGAGTCTGCAACCCCCCTAATATTTGGAATAATTCGTATTTGCAGGGAGGGTGGGCAGGGCCTGGTCTGGTGGCCTTGGGGTGGAGGCGGGGCAGGGGGGGGGAGGGGGAGAGGGAGGGCACAGGGGAGGGGAGGGGGGAGCCCCCGGGGACGGGGAGGGCCCCAGGGCCGGGTGTGGCGCGGCTGCGGAGAGCATGGAGTCAGGTAAGCGGATCCGCGGCTTGGGCCGCGGCCACCTGTCCCCCACCTGTCCCCTCCCCGACTGTCCCCCCTTCCACTGTCCCCCCACTGTCCGCGCCCCCCCAGTCCCGCCCCACGTCTTGGGTTTCAATGGCCCCGTGTAAACCGAGCCTGTAAACAGCCACGGAGCCGGGAGGGCGGGAGGGGAGCGGGAGGGGGGCGGCCGCGCACCTGTCACCCTCACCCCTGCCACCCAGATCCTGGGAGCCCGGGGAGTGTGTGTGGGGGGGGGGTGGCCCGGACCTGGACTCGAACCCCTGTCCCCAAGCTCAGATCACAGCTGGTACCCCGGGGGACCCGGTGGGGGGACACAGGGCCTGCGCCCCTGACAGCCCCCTGCCCTCCCCCCTTGGGTGCCCTCCCCACAGCCCCCTCCCCCAGCAGGTGCCATTTCCCATTCCCAAAGCCCAGCGGGACAGAAGCCCAGGGGCAGGTGGGGCTTTGATGGCCGGGAAGATGCCCTCTTCCTCCCTGCGCCCCCCTTTCCTCCTGTGGGGCGCAGGGTCCCCAGCCAGGCCGGGCAGGCTGGAGGGCTCCGCTGTGCCCTGTAGGTTGGGGCACAGGTGGCCACGCCTGTACCCCAGGAGTTCAGACCTCAAGCCAGGCACCATCTCTGTCCCTGGTCTCTGTAAGCCACAAAACAAGCCGACAGCAAACCCAGGGGCCCTGTCCGGGGGATAAGCTCTCTCCCCCTCCAGGCAGCCTGAGGAGATGGCCACCGTCTACCTGCCTCTAGCTGCGCTTCCCCTCGGACCGTTTGCTCCATCTCCAGACCAGAAAAGCGTAGCTTACTTCATTTTATATGCGGAGCAGCAAGTGATGCTTCCTCTTTCGTTTGTACTTTCAATTTTTTTTTTCTCTCTCCCTTGAAAGCGCGTGCAAATGGCTCGCCTCATGGGTGCTGTTTCTCCTCTGTAAGGTGGAGAATTGGGACGAGGGAAGAAAATAGCTTGTAGTTGTCTTTTGTTGTTTCTCAAGGCCGGTGCTCTACCACTTGAGCCACAGCTCCACTTCCAACCTTTGGGTAGTTCATTGGCGAGAAGAGTGTCACGGACTTTTCCTGCCTTGGCTGGCTTTGAATCTTGATCCTCGGATCTCAGCCTCCTCAGTAGCTGGGATTATGGGGGCGGGGAGCCACTAGCACCTGGTTTTGCTGGGGTTTTGGTGGCTCACGTGACACACAGCAGTGACACATGGGTGGCTTCCATACGTGTTAGATCTTCCTAGATCGGAGTTTTGCATAGTTGAACCATTGCCTGAATTTTGATAGCCCATTTCCAAAACACGAAAACAACCAAGCTTGAACAAATCAACAGGGAATCTGACCAATTGCTTTTTTTAGCAAAGAAGCATGAAATGAAAAATTAGACTTTCAGGTAAGGCTGTATCAAGCCCCTACTTCACTCTCGTGTGGAAACAAAGGGGAAAGGCCTGCATCGGTGGAAGGCTCCTTTTTGTCAGCATCTCTGGCTTGGTGGAGGGGGTCCTATCCAGAGAGGATTTACAGGTGCCTTATAGTAATTCAGATCATTCTGATATGCCCTGTAATCAACGTGATTCTCTCTCTCTCTCTCTCTCTCCTCTCTTTCCCTCCCTCCCCTCTCTCCAGGGAGTGTCTACATGTTTTTCATTTCCCTGATACTGAAATTCATCTGAGGTTTCCCAAGACCATCTGCTTCTGTCATTTCAGTTTATAGTAGAAAGAAAGAGAAAAGGCACAAACAGCCCAGTTCTGTTACAGCTCTCAGCCTTTTCTCTTCTTTTTTCTTTTCTTTTCTGTATCGGTCCTGGGTCTCTGTCCCTTAGCTTTCTCGCTCAAGGCCAGCTCCCTACCACTTGAACCATAGTTCCACATCTGGCTCTTCATTGGTTGATTGGAGATAAGAGTCTCGCAGTTTTCTGCCTGGGCTGGCTTTGAACCACAACCCTCAGATCTCAGCCTCCTGAGTAGCTAGGATTATAGGCATGAGCCACTGGTGCCTGACTGATTTTTTTTTTTTAAATATTGAGGTTTTTGGGCCAGGAAGAGCCATAAAGGAATGGGGCCTTCAGTGAGAGATTGCTGTGCACACAGGGAACACAGTGTACTCAGGTTTACCAGGGTCTTTGCACCTTCTCTTGTGATTCCTTGCTCAATCATGACACCAACACAGCGTACCATCTAGACTTCTGTGTGGATCACACAGCACGGCGTGGGGCTGGAGGTGCTGGTGTCCTGACCTTTCTCCCAGGGTCCAGGGGTGGCGTGGCAGGGTAGGGTGAATGACCAGAACTTGTCCAAGACGGTGGGTGCTCAGGTCTGTCTCTCTGACCTGTGAATCATTAGTTTGGTGATTGGCTGGCTGCCTTTTTCCCACTTCTCATTTCTCTGATATTATTTATGGTTTATCCCTGGGAAGTTCTAAAGAGAGGATTGTAGGAAATTGTGTGGGTTTTGTGACATAGAAATTTCAGGGCAAAGGTGAGCACTGGTGGCTCACACCTGTAATCCTAGCTACTCAGAAGGCTGAGATCTGAGGCTTCTTGTTCAAAGCCAGCTCAGGTAGATAAGTCCATGGGACCCTTCGTCTCCAATTAACTAACAAAGAAGCTGCAAAGTTGAGCTGTTTTTCAAATGATAGAAGGCAAACCTTGAGTGAAAAAAAACAACAACAACTAAGAAACAATGCCCAGACTCCAAGTTCAAATCCCAGTACTGGTACAACAAACAAAAATACAACTTCTTACAATAATGGTCTCCAGTCCAAGTATGACTGTATATGACCCTGTGCCTTCATGGACTGTTTTTGGTGTGTGTGTGTGTGTGTGTGTGTGTGTGTGTGTGTGTGTGTGTGTGTGTATGTGTGTGTCTGTGTGTCTGTGTATGTGTGTGTGTGTGTGTGTGTGTGAGAGAGAGAGAGAAAGCCGATTTGTGCAATGTGTATTTACCCACATCTGAGCTCTTAGAGGGAACATCTTTAAAAAACTATACAGAAGGAAAGGTCTTCCTTTATTTATGCTTTGCTCAGAAAACATGAATATTAAATAAAAATGTTTAAATATTTAAAAGCATTTGGTGTAAAGGCACAAACAAAACAAAATATGTCTTTCTGAAAAAGACTAGTTATATTGGTGAATATCTGTTTTTAAGTAACAATGAAACCTGATTATTGACGGATCATCTTTTCATTGTGTCTTCTTTTATACTAATTAGGGTTTCCTCCATCCTGGCTCAAATCCTATTTTTCCATCTCCTGTTTTGCAGTTTAATATTTGTGCCATTTTTCTTTTAAGGGCTAATTCTGCAAGTGATTGTGTGTGTGTGTGTGTGTGTGTGTGTGTGTGTGTGTGTGTGTGTGTGTGTGTGTGTATTTAGCTCTTTCTGAAATTAGTCAAAAAGTTTACTTTTTTCTGGGATCATTTAAGGGCTTTAAAATACCTTCACTTGACTTTCTCTTTCTAGCTTACATGCCAGTGTTATGTAGTTCCCAGTTCTACTGTGATGCATGTGTCTGTGTCTGTGTCTGGTCCTGAGCTTGAACTCAGGGACTGGTTACTATCTCAAGGCTGGTGCTGTACCACTTGAGCTATAATTTCACTTCTGGCTTACTGGAGATAAAAAAGTCCCACAGAATTTCCTGCCTGGGCTGGCCTCAAACCACAATCCTCAGATTTTTTTGCTAGATGGAGGATGAAAACTATTTTTCTTTAGTGCAATGAAAATAGAATGCCATTGTCACTTGGCTTCCATAGTTGTGGGTGAGAAAGTAGTTGTCAATCGCCTTGCTATTCTCTTGCGGGAGATTTCTTTAACTCCCCCCCCCTTTTTAATGGGTTTCATTATTCTATTAACTTCATTTTTCAACCTGTTTACATATTTGAAAGACAGGGTTAATGCATCATGCTTTCTTGGCTTTATGAGGGTTGAGGAAAGTTTCAAACAAGCTGTGTGAAAGCCCTTTGTAAATTCGAAAATGCTGCAAAGGTAAGGAATAAATAGAAGACAAGTACAATAATGTGCTATTTTTCTAATTCTTCTACCTGCAATAGGTAGACTATTATTTTTCTTCTCTTTTTCTTCAAGGTCCACCAAGTATTTGATACGAATACTAGATTCACCATTTATTTTTCAATCTTACACAAACAGGTCCAGTTATGACATACCAGGTACTGTAATTCACATCTGTCATCCTAGCTTCTCAGGAGGCTGAGATGTGAGGATCACAGTTCAAAGCCATCCTGAGCAGAAAAGTCCCTAAGGCTCTTAGCCTCTAATAAGCCAGTAAAAAACCAGACATGGAGGTGTGGACCAAGTGGTAAATGTTCCAGCCTTGAGCAAAGAATGCTAAATGACAGCGTAAGACCCTGAGTACAAGCATTGTTATTGGCACAAAAAAGAAAGAAAAGAAAGAAGGATGGGAAGGAAGAGAGGGAAGGAAGGAAGGAAGGAAAAGGAAGGGAAGAAAGAATAAGAAAAGAAGTTATCACATTGTATTTCCAGTTATTTAGATGCACCTCTGTCTCAGATAAGCTCATTGAACTCCACAGATCCATTTTGTTGTCTGTCCTAGGAGTTGAACTGAGGTCCTTTGTACTTGCTAGGAAGGTGCTCTACCAATTGAACCATGACCCTGGGACAACTTGCTTTAGGTATTTTTCTGGCCTGTACCACCATCTTTGACTTCGGCCTCCCTTGTAGCTGTGATGAAAAGGGCTTTATACCACTCCTAACTGATTGATTCAGATGGAAGTATCTCTTTTTATTTATGTGTTTATTTTTGCCCAGGCTGACTTCAAACCTAGATCTTCCCAACCTCTACTTCCCAAGTAGTTGTGAGCCGCTGTACAGTCCCTTGTCCATTCCTTGAATGCAGCATGTCTGAGTGGGGAGCCTAAGTTTAATTACTTGGGGGCAGCAACTCAATCCACACAAAGTGTGAAGCCGAGCACCCGTGTTCTCTCAATACCCTCTGACGCTCCCCCTAAGAAACCCATTTTATTTGTACCCCTTTGTAAAGGGGGAGGGGGAGTGGTCAACTAAGAAAAAAAAAGAACCTAACCACAACAGGGAAGTAAAAACACCAAAAATGGTTACGTAGTAGCCATAGCTAATTTGAACACTTATAAAAGGTAAGAGTTGAATATTACTACTTCAGTTTTGCCTCCTTCATTCTCTCCCCCTCCCCACCGACATTCTCCAAGCAAAAAATTATTCTTACTACAACCAAAGAAAGATAACTCACACTGAAAAAGCAAACAAACAAAAAATCTCCACATGCTTACAGCCAGTGTTTCCAATGACATGGCGCCTTGGAATTCTGTTGGAGATGAGCTTTTTGAAGCAGCAAAGTTGGTGAAGGGTACAGAGAGTAAAACTTAAAAATGCCTTCTTAATATTCCTTGTGCTAGCAATCTCATCTGAGAAAAGCTAAAATGGAAGTATGTTCCTCAATCTTGGTGGTAAATTAGCATTTGAAAAGGATGTCAGGGAAAAGACTAGCTACGCATGACTACATGAGAATCGCCAGTCCCTCTCAAGAGTTTCATTAATTGGTATTGCTGTTTACATTGGGAGGACCAAAAAGAAAAAGAAGTGCTGTAAAGGCTTCTTCAAACAGGACGCCTGGCTTGACCGGCCAGCAGGGGCTGAGCAGCTGCAACAGGGGGGGGGGGGGGGGTGGGGGGGGGGGATGGATGGTAACGGAATGACTGACTGTAGCATCTGTTGGGAACTTGAGCTCTGCTACAAAGATCCTGAATAATTCAAGTATTTTGCCTGGAAAGACTTTTGGATATACCACTATTCCTTTTTTTTTTTTTTTTTTGGATGATTACATGCCAATGTGCACTCCAAAGTGAATTCTTAAGTGCAGGTTTTGTTGAGTGAGGGATTTCCACTTCTTGACAGCAAATTTTCCGTTTCAGCTGTGCGCCCCTTTCTAATAAAAAACCATTTTGCATTGCACTGAAAAGATTACATTTTTTATGGCTTCGCAAAAAAAAGAAAAGAAAAAAAGAAAACCAAAATGTCATGTTCACTTCAAGCCATTAAAACCCTGAACAGGCTCAAACTGCTCCAGAGGCGTCTGCTACCGGGGTGGACCCGAGTTGGGGGTCTCAGAAAGGGAAGTTTCTTTCTCCTGGGATGAAGGACAGGAAGGGGGCTCTGGGTGTGGGGAGAGGGCTTTGCCTCAGATGCCCTGACTCTCTCCTACTGATTTATCATCCACCCTCCACCCCAAGTTTCCAGAATGTTCTCTGTGTAGGAAACTGAATGCAGATTCTTGGCCCAAGTCCTGACCCTTCCTTCCCAAATCTCTCTAGCCTCATGCTAGTGGCTGTGGGCCACTAGCTTTTGTGTTTGTGTGTGTGTGTGTGGGGGGGGGGGTCAGTCCTGAGGTGTGGGGACTTGAACTCAGGACCTGTGCGCTGTCCTTGAGCTCTTCTGCTCAAGGCTAGCGCTCTACCACTTGAGCCACAGCACCACTTCTGGTTTTCTGGTGGTTCATTGGAGATAAGAGTCTCATGGGGACTTTCCTGCCCAGGCTGGCTTTGAATCGCAATCCTTAGATCTCAGCCTCCTGAACACTTAAGATGACAGGCGTGAGCCACCGGCGTCTGGTCCCCCTTTTTGTTTTTTTCCCCAACAAAATCTCATTCTCTCGCCTGGGTCAGTCTGAATCGTGGTCTTTTCCTGTTGGATAGTTCCTGCGGAGCTGGGATGACGACTGTCCAGCATCCCAGCTTTTTACTGGTTGGGATCGGGTCTCTAGAACATCTCTCCTGTTCCCCCCCACACACACATCCAAGTCTCAGCTGGCTTTCCCATCTCCATTCTCCTGATCGCAGCCTTCCAAGCAGCTTCCAAGATGGCAGGTGAGAGTCACGCTACCCAATCCGAAGATTCCAATTGTTTTGTTCTCATCTTCAAGAAGTGACTTTTTCTTCATGAAAAGTCTCGGGCTAAGATCATCCCGGCCTGGTTTTCCCCAGCAGGCAGCTACCCGGTGGATTTTCTAGAAGATGACCCTGGGGGATATCAGGAAGCGACCGCAGCTTACCTCGCCTCACTCAGACACGGGACTGGGGCCACGCCAGTTTTCTCCCTTCCCACGGGGGAGCAGGTATGGATGTTTTCTACACGAAGCGCTCCCTCAAATGTCATTTGGATCATAGACTGCACCAGAAAGAATATCCTAGATTAAAACAAACAAAAGACCCCAACAACAATGAAACTTAAACAGCCCCCCATGACATGTGTGAACTAACACATCTGAGAAGCAGATAGAGGCCTTGGTGGGGATTCTGGAATCCTGAATGTGAGTTGAGCCATGCCAGGCAAAAAGCTATCTAGCCCTCAGGATTCGAGCCTGCTGTGTGGCTTCGAGCAAGTGTCTTAATACCAAAGGTCTTGGTATGCTCATGTCTAAAACCAAGGCAATAATAACAGCACTTACTTCATGGTGGTGGGTGAATTGAGACTCCATGTGTAATGCCTAGCCATGCCTCAGTTTACCCATTTGTAAACTCAGGAGAGTGCTTCATTTTGGGTCTATCAGATTTGATAGAGTGCTAATGTTTTCGTAATTTGGAACTACGCTGTGCCAATTATGATCTGTGTGTGTGTGTGTGTGTGTGTGTGTGTTAATACTGGGACTTGAACTCAGGGCTTGGACACTGTCCCTAAGCTTTTACATTCAAGGCTGGAACTCTACCACTTGAGCCACAGTTCCACTTCTGGCTTATTTGGTGGTCCACTAGAGATAAGAGTCTCGTGGACTTTTCCTGCCTAGGCTGGCTTCAAACTGTGATCCTCAGATTTCAGCCTCCTGAGGAGTTAGGATGACAGGTATGAGCCAATGGCAGCTGGCATGATGAAGATTTTTGAATTGAATTTGTGAATTTAATTCAAATTTTGAATTAAAGTTGTGTACCTTGTGAAGCAGGACCTGGGGGAACAGAGGGAAGGGGAGACAGACACTTTTATTTGTGGTGAAAGTGTTTGTTGTGAGTGCAACTTTAAAATTCCAGTCTTTTTTTTTCTTTAGGATTCTCTCTCTCTCTCTCTCTCTCTCTCTCTCTCTCTCTCTCTCTCTCCAGCAAGTGAAAATAACACAGCAATGGTGGGCCTTACCCAGGTCCATCACCTCTTTCAGATTCACAGCTGATCTGTAGAAGGAGACACAGACTCCTGGTTTTACACCTGGAAGATTTCATTCCTGCTAGAATTTGTCTCCCCCCGCCTCCCCCGCCCGAGTTGGTAGAGAGGACACTGGGTCTTGCTTCGCTGTGGTGACGTTTCCAGAGTGAATGAAGACCGTGGCTTGCACAGATTATAAGCAGTGGCTTCCCTGAGGTTTTGAAGGTGTGACTCCCCCAAAGCACCCTGATTTGTAGGGTTGCAGAGCTGGAGTGCAGGGGGAAGGATGCTGGCCTGGCATACTCTGGCGCCCCCCAGTGGCCATGAGCAGACGTGCACAAAGTCTGGGTCTCGACTTGCCCAGGAGTTGAATGTGGAAGGTAACCAGAGGCCGGTGAAATCCCCTTTTATTGCCCCTGTATTTGCAGGTTGCTTTACTTCAAAACCACCAACCAACCCTAATAGCGAGAGTACGCTTCACAAGCGAGCGATCGTAGTATCATTAATGACAACATCAAATGAGACTCTTACTAAAATTGTTTTAGTGAGCTAGAGATCTAGGGCTGTTTCCTGCCATTTAGCAATTTGGTGGGGGTGGGGGGTAATCTCATTAGGAATGGGGTTTGGGTCTTTTCATTGCTTTTAGCAGTTTAACTTGGCTCTTTGTACCCAGAGGGGTTTTTCTCCACCCCAGAAAGCTTGGGGTGTAGCATAAGGTAGTTATCTTTCTCTCCCATAATTAACTCTTTTCCAGTCTTCAAATCGGTCTGACCCATTTAAAATACAATTGTTATTTACTGATCCTCCCCTCCCCCCTGGTTGTAAAGCAGTATTATTCATTGTGGATTTATTTGGGAACTATGACAACAGAAGAGAAAATACAAGCATCGTGGTTAACTACTGTAAACATTTTGATATGTTTAAATTTAGATTTTTTGTTTTGTTTTTGTTTTTTGGACATAAGGTCTCACTATAGAGCCCCAATTGGCCATTCTCTAGTCTTAGCTTCCCAAATGATGGGATTACAGGCACACATCACCCTGCTTGGCTTTTTGCATTTTTAATATATATATTTTTAAAAATATAAACTTAGCGGCACACTGGTGGCTCATATCTCCCTAGCTACTCGGGAGGCTGAGATCTGAGGATCTCGGTTCGAAGGCAGCCCAGGCAGGAAAGTCTATGTGACTCTTATCTCTAATTAACCACTAGAAAACCGAAGTGGAGCTATGGCTCAAAGTGATAGAGCGCTAGCCTTGAGCACAAAGGTTCAGGGACATTGCTCAGGCCCTGAGTTCAAGCCCCATGGCTGCCAAAAAAAATTATATATAAGCTTGATGACTCTCTGAATGGAACATGGTCTATACAATAAGATTCTTTCCAGGTTGATAGGCTGTGGTGTTTCATGGCTTGGTAAGAGTCCATTTCTTTGATGCACTATTCTTGATGTAACCTTAGGAGTACGGGGGGTTGGGCAATCATCTCCAGGATTCTTCAGGAAAGTGGCTCTCCAAATGAGGAGGTACTGAGATGTGTATGCGCCCCAGCACTTGCTGAGAAACAGTTCTCTGGAAGTTGGAGGCTTCCAGCGAAGTCAGTTGTGCCTGGACCACGCCTTCTTTTTTGCCTTTCTTATGCTCCCCTTGGTGTCCAAAGCAGTCTTGCTAATGGAATGTGTTGACCTTCAGTCTGGGCAGCTGGGAGCTGGCTTGGTGGCTACACAGAGGCCTTGGGCTGTGGGGTCCTTGAGCCAAGGGGACCATCCCAGTGTGGGAGACCCTAGCAAGCACACAGGCACCCCAAATTGAGCTTCTCTATACATGAGGCAAGGGGCAGGACTGAGGCCAGGGGTGTGCAGACAAGGTGTGCATTTCTCTCGACTGCTTTGCAGGCAGAGGTGGAGGCCACACCACCACCGGGGCTCAGGGAGGAGCGTGGAGGCTGACTGGACCGATGTGGCTCTGAAGTGGGGGTGAGGCCTGAGTTTGGAGGCCCCAAGCTGGGGAAGGCGGGAGGGGGGAGAGGGGAACAGAAGGAGAGGTCCCAGGGCATTGGCAGCAAAGGAGGAGTTTCATCAATGCTTGGATAGGCAAACAGGTGGAGGTGGGCAGCGCGGGCTGGCACCATGGGAGAGGCGTTTGCCAAATTCTCCTGTGCTGAGCTCAGGCCGGGGAAGGGTTTCACTTGGGTCTCGCTGGCATCCCATTAAATTAATCCCCGTGTTCTTTCAGTGAATCACCGTACTAACTAATTGCTCAGCCATTTCCTGTGCCCAGGCGGTGGGTTTGTTGTTTTTCTTCAGGTTCAACTCGAAGCTTCGTCTGTGTGCTTCTGCGCTTTGTACCGAGATGAACCCCAGCAGAAGATCCTGGTTTGGGTTCATCCACAGGACACAAAGACAGGTGGGAGTTATTGTGCATATGTGTGTGCACACACTCATGTGCGTGTGTACTGTGTTGCTTGTTGGTTGGCTTTTTGTCCAGGATGGCTTTGATTGTGATCCTTCTGCTCTCCATCTCCATAGTAGCTGGGATCATAGCTAGGAGCCACCATGCTGGGTTCTACTATGTATCTTTTTATCTTGCCCACAAGTATGGTAGCTCTATATGTGTGTGTGTGTGTGTGTGTGTGTGTGTGTGTGTGTGTGTGTGTGTGTGTGTGTGTGCATGCTGGTACTCTGGCTTGAACTCAGGGCCTTGAGCTCTCTCATAGCTTATTTTGCTCACAGCTAGCACTTGACCACCTGAGCCACACCTTCCCTTTGGCTTTTTGAGCCTCTTCCACTGTTCTTTCCTGGTTGGCTCTGACTGAGATCCTCAGATCTCAGCCTCCTGAGTAGCGAGGGCTACAGGCAAAGCCACCAGTGCCCAGCTAATTCACACTCATTTCAAAACCAATCATTCTTGAGTTGGCCAATGGAACCTTTCTTTACAAGTTCACCTCTTCATGTAGGAGGGGATGTTTGGTGAACCAGGCATTGGTCTGAAGCCAACATTTCCCCCTCACCCACTGGTTCATAGCTGGTCTTTTTGGCCTATGCCTGGTGTGGTATGTCTCAGGAAGTTTGGGCTTCAACTTCAGGTTCAGAATCCGAGGCTAGAGCTGCTGGGGTGTCAGTCCCCTGAGTCGGCACCATCCTGTCCTCCTGTCCCCACCTACCCCGCCTCGCTTCTAATTTGGAGTCACTTGCCTTCCTAGCGAAAATGGCCCCCTGGGCACGAGAGAGCTGGCCTTTCATTCTTTCTGAAACCCCAGCGAGAAGAGTTGGGAGTGTCTTCAGGGCGGATGAGAGATGGAAAATTGTAGTTGACTCCCCTGAGAGTCCCATGGAGGGGGCACCAGTCTCTGGAAGTTTCCAGAACGAGGAGCCTCTCCTGGCAAGATGGCGGCAGGTGGGCGGAAATAATGGGATGTGAGGTCTGGAAGGATATGGATCTCCCATTTCCTCAGGGCCCAGATCTGGCTCCTGACTCCGGGGTGCTATCGGCCCCTCATGATCCTCTGTCCTGTGGGGTTAGAGGCAGAAACAGGGCCTCCCTCCCTCCCAAGCACAGTCTGGGTATGAACCACACCAGGCCCCTTTGTGTGTTCCCAGGTTTCTGTTCAATCTCCCATCACATTCCCCATGCTTGCCTGCACCAGAGGCCATGCTAACAGGCAGGTGGAAGCGAGCACAGCATTCACAAGATGCTGAGTGATGGGCAGGATGGGGCTGGGAGCTGAGATTCAATCTCTGAGTCGTCTTTGCTTGGTGGAGGGGAAGGAAGGCTGGTAGGAGCTGGGCCGGCTCACTCATCCTCGGCGATGCCGTGGGTGTGCTTGGCAGACAAACAGTGGGGAAAGATAGGACACAGGGTGCGTGGAAGGGTTTTGGCCTGGCCCCGTGCAGTTGCTAATTGTGCTTGGTAATTTAGGAGGACCTGGGCTGTAGGGGTCAGGTCCTTATTCATGGGCCTGATCATTTCCTGTGGCCAATCGTGAGTAGATGATAAATTCTCTGAAGGTAAAGGCATGCCCCTACTGAACTCTGCTGGGTATCTGGCAAGCAGGCCAGGTGACAGTCGAATAGCAGGGGAATGGAGGGTCTAGTGTGAACACGGTAGGACCCTGTGTTCATTTCCCTGTTTAGAACGTCTGTCTTTCTAGCCAGCTCCCAGGACATTTTGTGACCAGTCTTGTAACAGTCACCCTTCAAATTGCTGCTAATTTATTTACAGTTTTTGATGATTGCACATCTTGTGCATCCTGAGAAAAACAAGTAGGCTTTTTTTTTTTTTTAAGATTTCTTTCCTGGAAAAACATGTTCATTATAGCCTGCAGCCACAGCAAGCGCCAAGTTAAACATTCAAATAAAACCAGAGCAGCCCTGGAGCCTGCCTTCCGAGGGGGCACGAGCCCGGCCTGGATGAGACACCCAGGCCAGACCTCAGGCCAGACCCCCGCAGGGCTGTGTGTGGAGGGCAGGTGGTGGGAACCTCGCAGGGCTGGAACTGCATGTCCAAGGAGCCTGGGAGAACTTTTCTCAGAACCAGGAGGTCCTTTTTGGGGGTGTCTCCTCACTCACCTCTGTACAGGCTGCCCAGACTTTGGGAATGGTTCTGGCAATGGAGGCTGGAGGCAGAGAGGCTGTGGATTCTCAACCCTGGAACCCCACTCCCCCTCCAGCCCCTGCTGTGGCCTTGAGGGAGGTGGGCAGGACAGACAGGCAGGGTTCACCCTTAGGCTCTGTCTAAGAGCTGGCTGAGCCTGTAAACTTGAGGTCCACAAGCCAATGTGGGGGTTGCACCGGAGAGGCTCGCCCACCAGAGGAGGCCTACTTTCAGCACTGAAGAAGAGATGCCGTTTCCTGGCTTTGACGTCTGAGGTCCCACAGGCTCATAGATAGAGGATGTGTCCCCTGCCCTCTTCTGGGCCCCCTTGGTTCGCAGACACCATGCTGGCCTCCCATGACCCTAAGGGAAGGGCAACTTGTGATTTCAACCCAGGCAGCTCTTCAGATAACTGCCAAGGGAAGGCTCAGCCTGGGGAGTTGTCAATCATCCCGCCTCATGACCCGGAAGTGCCCCCTGGAGGAAGGTTCACCAGAAATGCCCTGCAGGAGGGCTCACCGGAAGTGCCCCATAGAAAGACCTCTCACCGGAAGTGCCCCATAGAAAGACCTCTCACCGGAAGTGCCCTACGAAGGAAGGCTCTTGAGGAGCCTGGGAAGATGGACAGTTCCGGCCGGAAGCTGCCTCTGTTCCCGCACCAGCGGCGCTGCCGGCCGTCAGGGCGCCTGGCAGCCTCGGGTTCAGCCCTGGGTTCGCGGCCCGCGGGCCCCCGAGGGAGCAGGAGGGGCCGTTGGGGCGCAGGGAGCCGCCTCCCTTCCCTGTTGGCGGCTGGGACGTGGGCCAGGCCTCGGCGTGACCCCGCGAGGACGCCCGTTCTCCTCCCGGGACTCGTGGCCGGGCGCGGCGCTGCGGCTCGAGTGGTAGAGGCCAGCCTGGAGCGCAGGAGGCTCGGGACGGCGCCCGGGCCCTGCGTCCAAACAACACCGTACGAGGACAGCACGGACCGTCCAGGAAAATGCCTCAGTGTCCGAGGGCAGGCGAGGCCGCTCCTGGAGGCCTACGGCGGGCCTACCGGCCATGGGCCTACCTGCCCTGGATAGATCTACCTGCACTGGATAGATCTACCTGTCCTGGACAGATCTACCTGCACTGGATAGATCTACCTGCCCTGGATAGATCTACCTGCCCTGGATCTACCTGCCCTGGGCCTACCTGCCCTGGATAGATCTACCTGCCCTGAATAGATCTACCTGCATTGGATAGATCTACCTGCCCTGGATAGATCTACCTGCCCTGGATCTACCTGCCCTGGGCCTACCTGCCCTGGATAGATCTACCTGCCCTGGATAGATCTACCTGCACTGGATCTACCTGCCCTGGATCTACCTGCACTGGATCTCCCTGCCATGGGCCTACCTGCCCTGGATAGATCTACCTGCCCTGGATCTACCTGCCCTGGGCCTACCTGCCCTGGATAGATCTACCTGCCCTGGATAGATCTACCTGCACTGGATAGATCTACCTGCACTGGATCTACCTGCCCTGGATCTACCTGCACTGGATCTCCCTGCCATGGGCCTACCTGCCCTGGATAGATCTACCTGCCCTGGATAGATCTACCTGCCCTGGATCTACCTGTGCTGGATCTACCTGCCATGCACTGGATCTACCTGCACTGGATAGATCTACCTGCCATGCACTGGATCTACCTGCACTGGATAGATCTACCTGCACTGGATCTACCTGCCCTAGATCTACCTGTCATGGGCCTACCTGCCCTGGATAGATCTACCTGCACTGGATCTACCTGCCCTGGATCTACCTGCACTGGATCTACCTGCTGTAGATCTATCTGCACTGGATCTACCTGCTGTAGATGTACCTGCCATGAATCTATTGGCCATGAATCTGTCTGCCTTGTGTCTACCTGTGGTGGATCTACCCACTGTAGGTCTACCTGCCACGAATCTACCTGCTGTGGGTCTCCCTGCCGTGGGTCTCCCATGACAGCCTGGTAGGTAGATGGCTGCACCCGAGAGACGCTTGGTCAAAGCTTGCCTCGATTTTGTGCCTGCTTAGCAATTTTGAATGCTTCCCTTAGAGGGGCTGGCTTTACTGTGGATTTTTTGTTGTTGTTGTTGCCTCCCCCAACAGCTTAGAGTTTAAAGAGGCACCCTCTTTACCCTCACTCCGTTTTCCTAGAGTTAAGGAAAAAAGAAAAATCTAGATGGGGGTGGGGGCGGGAAACAAAATTGCTCCAGGCAAGAAAGTCATGAGAAACACAGGGAGGCTGAGGCAACTGTGCTGTTGACCAGATGTTTCCTTCTCCATAACAGAGAGGCACCCAAGTTCACGGGCATCTGGGGGGAAGTGTTTTCCTTTAAGGAAGACATCTGTATGGAGTGCTAGTCTCCCTAATGCAATGTGACAGTTGCTATGTCAACCAGGGTATTTTTTCCCCTCCCTGTAAGTTATTGACCAGTTCAGTCAATGTTGCATAAAAGTCAGGCAATGTCTTGGAATGTGTTTATGTGCTAGGCTTTGCCAGAACTTCTCAGTGTTCCCCCCACCCCCCCTCATGCCCCTCCTACCCCTGCATGTATTTTATTTTGCTTTTGGGAAGATGGCCTGTCAGTTTGGTTTAACTGTGCTTTTTTTTTTTTTCGTATTTTGTTTGTGGAACTACATATTTCTTAGATTTGTAACGGGGCAGTGGTGGCCTACACTCCAGGGGAGCAATAAGGAGGGGAGAAAGGGGATGGGGGAAGGGACTTGAGGGCCTTTTAGCTTTGATGAGGAGGTCCCAAGCCCTGGCGCAGTCAGGAACCACTTGTAGCTAGTTTAGTGGGGTAAGGTGTGTGTGGGGAACTTGCTCTGCCTTGGTTTTTATCAAGAGGGAAGAGGACTTGGGGTGGTGAGCGAGGGGAGCTGGAGTGTCCCTTCAGCTCTGTGTGTGCCCATCTGCTTGCTGGCCGGCCTCTCCTTGCTGCCTTGGCATCCTCCGGTCCTCCTGGTCCTTGTGCTGTCAGAAGACAGGACATGGGTCCATCTGTGTCCTTCTGCTCAGACTGGACACCAGGCTGTCCTTCCTACTCTCCTGCTTAGGGCCAGTCTGCTTCCCCGTGGGTCCTTTCTGCCCTCCTCTACAGTCTCCTTTGGTCTTCCCTGCCTCCACTCTTACTCCCATCCCAATCTATTATCACATTCACAGTGGCACTTAAAAAAGAGGATTTTTTTTTTAAACTCAGGGATTCACACTTGCTCAGCTTGCTTGCTTCGATGAGGGCCTACCACTTGAGCTACACCTCCAGTCCAGATTTTGGCTGGTTATTTTGGAGTGCTTGTCTGCCCAGCCTGGCACTGAACTGTGATTCTCCAGACCTTTAGCCTTCTGAGTACCTCAGCTTCTAGGTGTGAGCCACCGACACCAGGCTCAACAAATGAACATTTTTAGATTCACAGTTTAGGTCTCATGGCTTTGGGTGTAGGAGGGCAGGGACTTCCCATTCACACCCTGCCTGGATTCAAGCACAGCAGAGTTCACACCACCACAGACACTAACTACCCAGAGCCCGGCTTACATTAGATTCACTCTTGACATGGGATAGTCTGTGGGTTTGTACAACTGTATAAGGCTACATACCTATCATTTTAATACGCAGAGTCTGGTCATTCAAATCCTGTGTGTGTGTGTGTGTGTGTGTGTGTGTGTGTGTGTGTGTGTGTGTGTGTGTGTTAGGAATTGAACTCAGGATCTCATATGAGCTAAAAAACATACCACAACTGAGTGACAACCCCCTCCCATAACATTTTCTTTCGTTGTGCAAGCACTAGTTTCTCTAGTCTGGTTAGAACCAACTCTTGTCTTTCTAAAACACCATTATGACAATGGTGTTCCTTGCTTGGACTGATCCAGTGACTTGATAGTTTGTCCAAGCCGCTAGTGGAGCTGTTGCTTTTGCCCAATAGTGTTAGGATATATCTTATTGAGAAATGACCCCTGGGTCTCTTATGAACAACTATGATATCATCTTCCAGTGACTGTCCTGTCTAGTTCTCTCAGGAACTTGTGCTCTGAAAAGATCCCTCCAGAGCTGGGGATATATGACAGTGGTAGGCTTCCCTGGCATATGTGACCATCCTGGGTGTGATTCTCATTATTTATAGAGAGAGACAGATATAGATAGATGTACATATCTACACACACAGTATATACGCATTATGTGTTATATCCTCTACTATAGAGTATAAATGTATATGTGTATATATGTGTATGTATGTATGCATGTGTGTGTGTGTGTGTGTGTGTGTGTGTGTGTGTGTATCCACCTTGGTAGCTCCGTGATGTCCCACGTGGCTGATTTCCAGTGTGAAGCTCACCAACTGCCCCTGGTTTTCTCTTCCAGTTGTGGCTGTTTACTTGAAGGAATCCTGGTGGTCTGTTGAAGACATTCTGAGAACTTCTGAGCCTGCCAGGGAGGGTCTCCTGCAGGTGAGGGGACTGGAGTGTGTGTTTAGATTGTTATCGTAAAGGTGGCATGCAGGAGGATCACAGTCACGCAGGTCAGGTAGAGAGTGGGGTTCTGTGTTGGACCATGTCACCCCTATGCTCTCTGCCAGCTTTTCCCTCCCATCCCCACCCATGGGTTATGTGTCTCATTTTTAACATAGCAGGTGACTGGATTTTTTTTTTTTTTTTTGCCAGTCCTGGGGCTTGAACTCAGGACCGGGACCCTATCTCTGAGTTTCTCTATGGTCAAGGCTAGCAGGCTACCACTTGAGCCACAGCACCACTTCTGGCCTTTTCTGTTTATGTGGTACTGAGGAATCGAACCCAGGGCTTCATGCCTGCAAGACAAGCACTCTACCACTGAGCCACCTTCCCAGCCCTGGGTTTTCAGGCACTCTAGTCATTCTGGTGTGAATGACTTACAAGCTGTCTTCAACATCGTGACTGCCCCCCAGGGCTGCCCCTGGCCCCGGCCACAGCCGTCAGGTGGCGACAGCCATTTCTCCTTGCCAGGGTGGCTGAAGGTCCAGAGTTAAGAAGTCTCTACTTGCTTGGACCTCTGTGTTCCCCAGAAGAGACATCCAACAAGAAGCTCTGCACTCACTGTTTCTCTCTTTATGGACCCAGGCGACCCTGAGTCCACTTTTGTTCTATAGATGTGCCTGTTCTGAATATTCCAGTTTTCCATGACTATGGCTGATGTGGGAGTATGGTGGGGGTGTGATTTCCACCAACAGGGTGATAGTGTGAAGATCCAGCTCACCCCTATTTCTTCCCTTGTAGAATGTGGTCTCCTCCTCCTCCTCCTCCCCCCTCCTCCTCCTTCTCCTCCTCTTCCTTCTTTCCTTCCTTCCTTCCTTCCTTCCTTCCTTCCTTCCTTCCTTCCTTCCTTCCTTCCTTCCTTCCTCCTTCCTCTTTTTCCTCTTTCTCTTTCTCTTCTTCCTTTTCCTTCTCTTCCTCCTCCTCCTCTTCTTCTTCCTCTTCGGCTGCTTCCTGTTCCTCTTCCTCCTTCCTCTTCCTTCTTTTCCTCTTCTTCTGAATCCTTTCTCTTCTTCCTCTTGTTCTTCCTCTTCTTCCTCTTCCTCCTCTTCCTCCTCTTCTTGTTCTTCCTCCTCCTCCTCTTCCTCCTCCTCCTCCAACAACAACAACAACAACAATTTCATGTTCTCTCTGCTAATATAAAATTAGTGGTCCTTATGAAGGATTAGACTAGATCTTAGTTTTATGTTTTCGGAAATGTTTCTTAAGTCAAAAAATCACATGTTACATATCTTTTTAATTCTTTACCCCCTTCTGTAGTAAATTTGGAGAAATAAGTGCATTGACTCCTTTTCTCTCCTGCCAGCTTTAGATTGGATAGTTCCTTTCTAGCAGATGCAGTCTTCTTTTTTATTTTCTTTTGGCTTTCCTCTGAAACTGTTTGGGTTGTTGAAGTTGAAAAATTTAACATCCCACATCATGATTGACTCTTGGGAGTAGCCAGTTCTGCTGAGAATCTAAACATCATTTGACTGCCACTGTCTGAGACACCAAATGTGAGGGCCTCTCAGAGCTGAGCTGGTTTAATGTTCACAGATCCTTTCCTGCTCTAAGATTTGACGGTGGGTGAAGGTGATGAGTTTTACCCTCTGAGCCAATTAATTTATTGACAGAGACCACTTGGGTATCATTTGCTAGGCTGCTGCAAACAGCTTTATTTTTATTACTGGAGGATTGGAAAAACAGTTTGAGAGATCACCTGTGTGGTCCTCTCTCTTGATCTGTGGACGAAAGAGGGGGTCAGGACTACGGGTTGCCAGAGACTTCCCAGGAAATCTAAACTGAGCTCCCACAACTACAAATGATGATGGTGGTGATGGTGATCGAGTGGCCAGGTGATTCCACATAAAGCCAGGCATTCCTCTGTGGATGGGAATCTCCTGTTCTCCGTCTCAGGAGAAGGGAGCTCAACAATGCTGCTGGGTGGGCATCAGGCGCACCGGCTGTCAGAGCCTTGTCTAGCTGTCTCCAGTCCTCTTTGGAAAAGGCAGGGAAGTCCATAAACATGACCACGTACCCTCTCCAAACGGGGACTTCTTCATCTGGGTACCAGGTCCTCCCTAGTAGGTGGCAAGAAACACTTGGCAGTATGTGGGTGGCAGTCCTAGCCCAGGTAATGAGGAAGTCAGGCTGGTGGTTGTGTGTGTACATAAGCATGCACGCATGCACGTGCGCACACATGCACTCACGTACGCCCACATTTGTGCAGCCATGCAATGAGATAGGACAACATGGTCACCGTGAAAAGAGCCAGTGACTCCCAACTCCTGTGCCTAATTGTAGTGATTGCTGTGGTGTTTGGGGTTCCCATGTTCTCTGGGTGTCCTGGAGCAGGTGGCCCTGACCCCAGCCCCCACCTTGGTCCTCATGGGCTGCACAAATGGAGAAGATGGTGACAGACAGAAGCGTGACGTCGTTTTCCCTGGTGGCCTGTGAAAGCTTCCAGCTCTGCGGGCCTGGCTTTGACCACAGGACAGGGGCCTTGGCCGTGGGCAAGAGAGCTCTGGGTCACAGCTCAGAACGGGACAGGTCTTGAACCCCAGTCAAACCTCTGGGCTTGGGATTTCAGCGGGTGTTTGAAATCTGCCACAAGCTAATAAACCTCATTTTTCACGTGGCAGTTCATCTCCTCGATGATGTCTTCTCGGAGGGCCAGAACTCTGCTGCTGTTAAAAATGGCAGATGGAGTTTACTTCAGGACACATCCAGGGAATGTGCTGGAATGATTTGCCCTGGCTGCCCCTGGAGGCAACTTCCTGTTCCATTAGCCCATGGCTGACTCTGCTCTGCTGACTTGCATTTCACCTCTGTGCGCCCCGGGAGGCCTGGGCACCTGACCCTGTTGCTGGCCCCGGAGGCCATGTTGTGGTGACACCGTGATTCACACTTAGGCCCTGAAGCACAAAAAATCTTGGCACACGCACCTGGGCCTGCGTGCGCACGCTGACGCCAGACACAAGCTTTCCCGCGTCTGTCTTCCCTCTCTCTCTCTTTTTTCAAGGTCCACTCCTTTGGGGAAAGGATCGTGCTTTTCACTCTAAACGTCATTGTTTTTGGAAGACTGGAGAGAAGTGTGAAAGAGGACGGCATGTTTTTTTTACCTCACTCTGCGAGGGAGCAGGCTAAAATCCTGTGGCGAGACGGAGCAGCCATTGGATTCTACTCAACCAAGATGAAAGGTGAGGGCGGCGTGGCCTCTTGGGGCCTGGGCCATCCCAGCTCTGGATGGTTCTGGGGACTCTTAACTGTCTTTAGAAGGAGTGCTGTGTGGAGAGAATCTTCTGGAACAGCGAAGTCCCACGGGTGCAAAGACTCTTTAAGCACAAGGCCTATTTCTTTTCTTTCTTGTCACGGGTTCACTGCCAGACAAAATGCTGTGCCTAATAGCTGACAGGTGGGGCGGGAGGGCCCGAGAGCCAAGATTCACAGACGTTACCTCAGCCGCAGGCCAGCCACCACGACAAGGTTACATGAAACAACTACGACTTATTTTCAGGGCTCTGATGAGCGGAAAATGTGGAACAAGCGCAACTTAGTTACATTCCTTTTTTTTTTTGTTTTTTTTAAAGTACTGGGATTTGAACTCAGGGTCTTAGATGTGCCAAGCAGGCACTATACCCTTGAAGCTACAATGCCAGTCCTTTCTTGCTTGCATGTTTTGTTTTTTTTTTCCCAATAAGGTCTTACTTTCTATTGTCCAGACTGGCCTGTGATCCTCTGATAAATACATCTGGGGTGACAGATGTGACTCACAACAAAGCTTCAAAGTACAGAAGTGAACATGGACAGGTCTGAAGCGGGAGAGGGGTGCAGGGTCCAGGGTAGCCACTTGAACAGACTTCTCTTTGGAATCGCCACACTGCACAAAACGCACATGTAAGACTGCAGATTCCTCAGGGACCTCTCCCCCAAACCTACAGAAATCACAAAGTGGATTATATTTTTGACTGAATAACAACAACAAAAATGGGTGCGTTTTTGAGATCAGTGTGTGTGTGTGTGTGTGTGTGTGTGTGTGTGTGTGTGTGTGTGTGTGTGTGTGAAGCGTGGTCTTAGGAACTTTTTGCCTGGCTTTGAACCACAGTCCTGCCAGTATTGGGTGTTCATATTGGTAGGATCATAGGAGTGAGCCTCCATGCCTAGCTTACATCTGCATTTATAGTTCCTCCCAAAGGAAGCCTGACAGGTGGGACACTGCGGTCACATGTCAGTACCACCCATGGCTAGACACTTAACCAAGCAGAGCCCAGCTCAGGTGCCAATCAAGGGGCTTGTTAATTAAATGAAGTGAATATATTAATGGCCCAAATAGGTGAATAATCTACGTTCAACCAAAAATCTTCCCCTGACAAGACTGCAATTGCAAACTATTTAGAATTCTACCCCCAATGGGCTTGAAATATGAGTATCAGTTTGTTTGGAGCTTCATGACTTCAGTTTATAGGGGATGAGAACATACCCCCATTATTATTTTGGTGGGGGGTGATTACTCACTCACTTTCTGAATTGGGGACATGTTCACCTCTTAGTTGGGGTTGGATCTGCTGTGTAGCCCTTTTCTTACCAGATTGCACTATCCCTGTGCGGGAGCCACGTCCCCTGGCTCCTGGATCATCCCGGAAGCACTTGGTGTTGCTCGGATAATCCTCGTGGGTTGTGAGGGAGAGAGCTGGGGAGCTGGGTCCCTGGCTCTGCGCAGTCTCCCAGGGTGCACCTGTCCAGCGGCTGCCCCAGCAGCAACCAATAGCACAGGCCTTCAGCAACAGGGACGGGTGGGCTGGGGAGCGGCTGGCCTGGACTGAGCAGCTACCACGGAGCGTGTGAAGCGAATCCCACCTCCACGTGGTACCGTGTGGTACTGGCTGTGCAGGGGACAGCGTGAACATCTTGCTTTCCCCACAGGCAGCTTGTGGGCTGATGGCACAGGTGCCGGCTACCTGCTGCCTGTCTTCGACACTGTGTTCATCAGGAGGAAGCATCGTCGCCAAGGCCTGGGGACGGCCCTGCTGCGGGACTTCTGCGAGACTTTCCAAGAAGAGGAGGCCTTGGGGGTCAGTGGCCCCATCTCTCCTGCCATGTACCAAGGTAACCCCCCGCCTCGTGTCACCTGCGAGCAGCCTCGGGTGGCAGCAACGAGGAACACGGGGGGGGGGGCGGGGGGGGGAATTCCCGAGGCTCCCAGGGTGGGTGGTGTCCTGGGAACCCTCCCGGAGAGACAGAACCTGGTCTGCTTCTGCCTCCAGCACAGAGGCGTCCTCTTCAGTTCTGAAGATGTAGACCCTAGCTGGGTGCCTGTGGCTCACACCTGTCACCCTCACCGCCAGGAAGGCTGAGGAGGGGAGGCTGCAGCTGGAGGCCAGCTTAGGCAGAAAGGTTCTCAAGGCGCTCTTCTCAACCTGTAGCTGGGCACGGCGGCACACGCCAAGTCTTCTCAAGCCACATAGGAGGCTGAGACTGGGAGGATAGCATTTCTAGGCTAGAAAAGTCTGTGAGACTCCATCTCAATGGAAGTAGCTGGGCGTGGTGGTGTCTACCTGTCGTCCCGGCTACAATGGGAAGCGGAAAATAGGAGGATTGTGGTCTAGGTACATCTTTGAGCAGGAAGCTGACCCTGTCTTAAAAAAGGAAGGGAGGGAGGGAGGGAGGGAGGGAGGGAGGGGGGAGCCCAGTGCAAGGAAAGGCTGTAGGTGTGACTCAGCAGCAGAGCACCTGCCCAGCAAGCATGAGGCCCTGAGTTCAAACACTGGTGCTACAAACACATACACAAACAGTACACTCCCCGAACAACAGCACCCAAAAACATAAAAAGAAAATCATTCCCATCCCAAGAAACCACTGGCTTAAAATGTAGATGGAGCCAGGTGTCCATGGCTCATGCCTGCAATCTTAGCTACTCAGGAGGCTGAGATCTGAGGATCAAGGTTTGAAGTCAGCCCAGGCAGGAAAACCCAAGAGACTCTTACCTTTAATTAACCATCAAAAAGCCAGAAGTGGAGCTGTGGTGGCTCCAGTGGTTGAGTGGTAGCCTTGAGTGGAAAAAACTACTGGACAGCACCCACGCCCTGAGTTCAAGCTCCAGTATGAGCAATTTCACAACAGTGTTAAAGTCATACACAGAGACAAAACTGAACTTTGAATTTCGCATTTTGAGCTTTTTCTGGGCTAGTGATATTATTGGGTCCAAATGGCTCCCTGTCAGCCATGGGTCAGGAGAGCAGACAACTGAGACTCTGCCTTCTGCCTGTGACTAGTGTGTTCTGGAGGCTGACGTTCAATGAATTACATGAAATGGTCCTCACTTGATTGTAAGCTAAGCTTCGTGTTAGGTGAGGGGTTAGACTGCAGACTGATAGACGTGTTCTGAGCTGGGCGTGGTGGCTGATGCCCATGATCCTCATTATTTGGGAAGCTGAGATCCAGAGGATCAAGGTTCAAGGCTAACCTAGGCAAAAAGTTTGAGAGGCTTCCTTTTCAACCAATAAAAAGCAGAGCGTGGGGGTGTGCACCTGCCATTCCAACAACATGGGGAGCAGGCCAGCTTGGGCAGGAAGTGGAGACACTGTTGGAAAAATAACTAAAGCAGAAAGGGCTGGAGGCGTGGCTCAAGTGGTAGAGCACCCATGGGCAGGTCTTCCTGATTCAGGCTTGCCTTCCTCTCCCAGTCTGCAGGCGGTTCCTGTTGGCCTGTCCAGGGGTGCGAGGACGGCTGTGGGAGGTGGAGCCTCCGGGGGCCTGGGGACAGCGCATCAACATCTGGCTCAGGGTTCAGCTTCAGCAGGCGGGACTTCCTGACTGTGAGTGAGCATCTCCAAAACAGACTTCCGTGCGCTTGTGTGCGCTCTGGTCCCCAACATGGTGTGCTTGGGTCCTGTTGTTGGTCACACCCACGGCTGATACAGACCAGGTTCCCAGGTGGGATTGGGCTGTGGTGGGGGTAAAATGGGCAATGGGCCGTGGCTGGGGGCCTTTGTCCTTGGTGTGATTTCCTTTCCTGAAGGGGACACACCTACTGATCATCTCTTGGATTCACAGCAGGCCACGGAAGCCTCTCCGAAGGCCAGTTTGTGCGTGCTAAAGTGTATTGCACATATTGCTTTGCCTAGGTGAGGTTGAAAATTCAGAGGATACCTTGACGGTTTGTTAATAAGCAAGTCTCTTCTTTGGAGGGGAGACATACACCCACAGGAATGCCTTGCAGAAAACATTCTGCTAATTGCTGTTTTGGGGTGTGTGTATGTGTGTTAGGTCTTGAACTCAGTCTTGAACTCACAGTCTTGCTCAGCTTTCTTGCTCACAGCTGATAGTCTACCACTTGAACCATGCTTTCAGCCTGACATTTTTTGCTAGTTAATTCAAGATGCAGTCTCATAACTTTTTCACATAGGCTGGCAATGTACCATGATCCTCTAGGTCTCAGCCTCCAGAGTAGCTAGGATTACAGGTGTGAGCCAAGGGAGCCCTGGTTCGTGTTTTCCTTTTTGATGGCAGCATAGTATGACACCTGCTGACATCTTGTTATTTGGTTCCCTGTGGACAGACTTACAGACATGGCACATTGGCTTCCATTCTGGATAGTGCCAGACAGTGCTCTGGTGAGTTTTCCCAGGGAATTGGAACCAAGGGGTTTTCAAGGGAGGACAGGGCCTCTCTGGTGGGTCTTCTAAGGGAGGCTGGGAGAGGTGTCCTTCACATAGCCCGAGTGGAATGCAGGTTCCCTTCTCCCTGTATTTCCAGCTTGGTTTCTCCCAGATGGAGAGGGTCACACCTGATATGCCTCTCAGCCCGGTCCTCCCCCGAGGCCCACAGCCAGGGTCAGCCAGCTTCAGGGGCTGTGTGTGGCTGGAAACACTAAACGAACTGCCCCACCCTCAACCCTGGCTTCCCTTCCCTGCCGGGATGGTAGCTAACTGCCAGTATTGATCTGGAAGTTTCCTCGGTGGTGGCAGGTGGCTCATGAGGGGCTGAGGGCCCCAAGGTATTCAGCCTCCTGTCCACTCGGGTGACCGCCCCCGCCAGGCCGTGACACTTAAGCTCCTTGGAATTTATTGATGAGACTAGTCTAGGTTTGTTGTTTTGTTTTTAGCTGGAAGGCTTAGTGGGTCTTTGCAGATACAAATGGGGTGGGCAGGAGCTGGGGAAGGAGGCCAGCAGGACTGTGGGGGTCATGGGACCATTGAGGGACTTGCGCAGTGGCACTGTATTAGGAGTGTGGCACATCTGTGGGCACAGAGCAGGCCAGCCACGTATTTCTGCACAAGCTTCACAAACAAGGCTGTGGCCTGGTGCAGGGCCCTGCAGCTCCCTGAGCCAGAGAGGCAGAAAGAGACGGCTGTGCACGTCAGAATGTGGAATCCACACAGGATGTGCTTGCCCAACTGGGGAGATGGTTTCCTTCTGGAGAGTTCCACCGGGGGGTTATTTCAAGAGCTAGGAGTTGGTGTGGTCTGGACCGAGGAAGCTGGGCTGGAGGACCGGGTGCCAAATCTGTCACTTGAATTCACGCAGAGATGCCCCAACTCCCACTTTCAAACAGCCTCTCAGAGAACGTTCCAGAAGCCTCGAAGGAAGAATGGTCATCATTCTAGTTGAGCTGTAATTAGGTGACTAAAATGGTAACTTTGGCAACACCGATTCTCAGCACGGGTTCTTCTCACTGAGTGTGGAGGCCAGGGCTAGCTCCTGGCCGGCAGGGATTCGGTGTGCTTGCTGAGTCTTTCACCCAGTTTTGGCCTGCAGCCATGATGGAGGTTATGGCTGACATCTCAGGGTTTTTTGTTTTGTTTTGTTTTTGTTTTGTCCAAGTTGATGAGAGGGGGTTGCAAATGTAATCACAGATTAGCACAGAGGCTTGGAACTTTCTCAGGGCCAAGTGGGAATCCATTTTTCCCTTCATGGAGATCAGCAAATGTTAAACAGACTTGAATTTCCCACAGCTCTGCAAACAATGCACATTCTAGAATCTTCTCTCCCATGGACCTCTCCCCAGGACACTTTGATTTTTGTCATTAATTAGCCAGTGGTTTTCTTGTTTTCTGAGGTGTTCCTCTTGTCCTTTTTATCTCTGGTGGTTGTTTTCCAAGTTCCTCTGTAATTTCGTGCGTGGTACAAATGGAACCTTTAGCAAGGAGACCAGAGGAGCCATGTGTTTCTGAACTCAGAATAAGCCACGAGCATTTTATTACATTTCAAAGGGAAGTTCACGCAGGCTCCTTGCAAATGTTTTAAATTTTATTTTTGAGGCAGTTTCGTTTATGGATGAAGTCTTTTAAGGCTAACACTACCATGGCAGTTGCTAACATCTGTGGCTTATAATGACCCTGAAAATATTCGCAGATATTTCACAGCATTTAGACAAGAAGTTGGTAGAACTTTTTTCCTCCCCCTTACGCTCAGTTACATATGACAAAGCCTTTGAAACTTGAGCGATAGGATCATAACTCCATCTGATGTGATTTCTCAGTCAGCCTGCATATGCCTTTAGTTTCTTTTTCCTGGTGGGAATGAAACTGAATACATTCCCAGTGAAGTGCCCTTTCGCAAAAATGTTGCAGGAGGTAGGAAACCATTGCATAGTGCTTTAGAAATTCAGTTATTCTTCTCTTAGAGGTTCACGGTTTTGCCTTCTTTTTCCAGCTCAATCTTTATAGACCCAATTGTCGTCCACAGGGAAGCCACTTTTCTTCCCTTTATTGTTATTATTTTCTTAATGGGATTGTGCATGAAGAGAGGTGGACAATTTGAGATGGAGCTGGGTTCCCTTCTGTAAAAGGGGCAAACTGGAGATCTAGCTTAGTTTCAGGTTAGACTGCTGAGTTGTTTGCCAGCGGGGCAGGCCACAGGGGTACCTTTGTGGCCGAACTGGAAAGCGGGACTCTGCACCCACAAAGGTGTGCTGATTCTGTGCTTTGTCAAGGTGTATGGTGCCCCCTTGTGGCAACTGTCATGTAGTGCAGTCCTGGAGAGCTGGTGTTTACCAACTTGTCTGTGTGGCTGCTTGCAAAATAGCACATTCATTTAAAAATTGTGTTGGGCTTTAAATTGCTTAGCAATGAAATGCACATAAACAGGTCATAGTGGCTGCTTTAGTGCATACTACATAAAAGTATGAGGGAAGGTGGAAAACTGATAAGTGGATATCTCCTTCCTTCTTCCTTTGATATCTTCCTTCTTTGGATTTCTTCATTAATTCATTTAATAACAGTTAATGAAGCATCTGCATATGCCAGATATTTAGAACATTAGGGATACAGTTGTGAAGAAGGTTGACAAACTCTCTGATCTCACTGATAAACTAGTAAGTCCACAGCTTCCACTATTGGGTGATACAAGACTCTGAAGCTGGGCACGGTGGCCAGCTACTCAGAAAGCTGAGATCTGAGAATTGCAGTTTGGAATCAGTGTGGGCAGGAGAATCAGTGAGGTTATTTCCAGTTAAATCAGCAAAAAGCTGGAAGTGGAGCTGTGGCTCAAGTGGTCATGTGCCAGCCTTGAGTGCAAAGGCTAAGGGAAACAGTGCTCAGGCTCCGAGTTCAAGACCCAGTACAAACACAAAACAACAAAACTCTTATTAGTTGAGTTAAACTGTGCTGGAGTTTCTAAGTGCTTAGAATTAAAGTTTGCCAAACCAAATTTGTTAATTTATATGGTTCTGTAAATAGACTTAACATTTTACTTATGTAGATAACCATCAAGTAATACATTTATTGTTTAGTAAAAGCATGTTGCATGTATAAGTCCAGTGCAAATGTAGAACCGTGTATTTTACACAGTCATCTGAAACACACACACACACACACACACACACACACACACACAGATTTGGAGTGGGTAGTAGGGAGGCCCATGTGCACAGCTGCATAAGACGTCATCATTTTATCAGCTGGCACTGGCAGGAGGTCACACAACATTTGCGAGTGTGACATGGAGAAAGGCCTGGGCTAGCGCTGGGGTCAGCTCCTCCGGCAGCTGAGGCACTGCAGGCCCAGGCACCAGTGGAAGTTAGGAAACGCTTGAGTAGGACCTTGGACTGGTGAGTGAAGGTCACACTAAGGGCCAGGGGTCCCCAGTGGGTTACCAAGCCTTGGCGTTACCCCTTTGCCTCCTTATTTTCTTGCTTCGGGGACGGCAGCACTTCCAGGAAGCTCTGAAGAGGCCGAGGGCAACTCCCAGCAGCCTTCTCCGGATGGCGGACCCACAAGGTATAGTAGGGCTGCGTCATCCCAAAGCTTCTTATCTTCTCCTTGCTTAGCAATCACGTGGCTTCATGGGCCGTGCTGATTTATGCTGAAGATCTGCCTGTGTGGGGAGGGGTGGGAGAGGGAGGTCTCTGGGGGATAACTAACGTCACTTTGTGCTCCTCGCTCTTCATGGTGCCACTATGTGACACCTGAGGAGGGAATGAAAAAAACTCTGAATCTCAAATTGAGCCACAGACTAGCATCTTGGGGCAGAACCAATGCAAGACTAATTTGTCTTGCTCTCCTCCCTGCCTCCGGAGCCCCAATTGCTAGAAATAGAGACGTGGTGTGTGGGTTTCCTGTACCCACTCCAGTCATGTGGAGCAAGGCACAGGTCGAGGTGGTTGCTGAATATTTCTTTTGGTGACAGGCATCTATCTCAGGCTTTTGCACCAATTACAGTAAGCCTTTATTATTAGAGCCATACCTCAGTTCTTTTGCTTTGCTTATAGAGTCTTGCATTCTTGCCTGTGCTGGCCTCAACCTGTGATTTTCCTACCTTTGCCTTCTGAGGAGCTGGGATTACAGTTGTGAACCACCACACATAGCCTAAATATGTTCTTTTTGTTACTGTATAGTAGTTGAACACAGGGGCTGGGAAGGTGGCTCAGTGGTAGAGTGTTTGCCTTGCATGCATGAGGCCCTGGGTTCAATTCCTCAACACCACATAAAGCATAAAAAGCCATAAGTGGTGCTGTGGCTCAAGTGGTAGAGCACTAGCCTTGAGCTGAAGAATTGAGAGACAGCACCCAGGCCCAGAGTTCAGGCCCCACAACCGAGCAAAAAAAAAAAGTTGAACACAGGGTTTTCATTGTGATATTTCCATGCATATTTCAATCATACTTTTATATCTTCTCCCTGCTTTAAAAACCATTTTAATGCCTTTCACAATTCTATTTCCATATATGTGCACAAAATACTTTTGAGTGCTGGGTGCTTGTTGCTCACCTCAAATTCTAGCTACTCAGGAGGCTGGGCATATATTCAAAGGACTGTGAATATAATACAGACCCTCCCACACCTATGTTTATAGTGTCACAATATCAAAGTACAGAATCAACCTAGGTATCCATCAGCCAATGGCTGGATAAAGAAAGTGTGGTACATATATACAACAGAATATTATTCAGCCACACACAAGAATGAAGTTATGTCCCCTGCAGAAAGATGGAACTGGAGATCATCAGGTTAAGTGAAATAAGGCTCTGTGTTTTTTCTCAGATGCAGAACCTAGACAATAAAGGTTGGTTATTTCTTGATGGTGACCACATGGACTCTCTGTGAAGGAGACCTGGAGCACAGAAGTAGACTGCGGCCTGCATGCAGGGGACACCGTGTGATGCCCAGCACAGCCTCCCCCCTCCCCCCCCCCCCCACAATGAGGTGTTGTAATCACCCGGTGGTTTGAGATGGACGGTTGGTGCTTCTTTGCCAGTGTGACAGCAGATCCATAAGCCAGTCATTCAATAAAAGAAAAATCTCAGGGAAGACAGTTGATACTGTGATGGTCCTTGTATGTCTCCGTATAGCACCCATGCCCCTTCCCCGATGGCTCCGTGAGACCTGATTGTGCCCCTCAGTTTGGTTTATATTTTGAGGTCCTCAGGCAGGTGGAGGAAGGGGCTGCCATCTCTGCACAACACAGGAGTGACCAGAGGCGCGCTGGCTCCCGGGCAGTCTCCATGGTGGCCACATGATGGCAGTCTTGCACAAATCAAGGCAGGGCTGGCTGGAGGTTGGCTAGGGGACCAAGCAGGGATCCTGGGCCAGGGCCTCCACCGGGCTCCTGAAATCCGGGGCAACCTCAGCAGGTTGGCGTCTAGAGCGGGCAGAGGTCTTACCTTAGCCAAGGAAAAATACGTGACACCGTGTCACCCCTGCCTGTCCCTCCCTCCTCCATCTCTCCTTCCTTCCTTCTCTTCCTGTAGAAGTAGGCCTTGGTTCTTCCTGTGATCACCCCCGTGATGGCAGGTGAGTCAGACCTGAGCAGCTAGTCCCAGCACAGAGCGGCTCTGAGAGTCAGGGTGGCGTTTCCCGGCCTGTCCAGTCCCAGATGCTGACCAGAATGCGGGAAGTGATGGAGGCGGGCGCTGCCGTCCTGCGGCCATGGGGGAAGTAAAGCTCGGATCGAGTGCGTGGACGCGGCCACGCCTGCAGCCCCTGGAGGGCCTCTGCGGGGTCCAGCAGCCAAAGCGAGTGGGGGAAGCGGAGCGTCCCCGCGGTAGATCCCGCCTCCAACTCTGCTCCGTGCGTTCGCCTGCCGCTGCTTCCGACGCCCTCGCTGCGCTGCGGGGAGCTGGGCCGCCGCCGGGGGCCGCCGCCGCCGGCTCCCGGGGCTCTGCGTCCCCTGGGCCTCTGCCGCGCAGGCGCGCCGCGCGCAGGCCGTGAGCCTTCCGGGCCCTCAGGCGTCCGCGGTGTCTAGCGCGGAGGTGCGGACTTCCGGTCCTCAAGTGAGGACTTCCGGTCCTCAAGCAGCCATGGCGCCCCGCGCAGGCAGGTGAGGACTTCCGGTCCCTCAATGATGGCGCCCAGCGCAGGCAGGTGCGGACTTCCGGTCCCTCAAGTAATAATGGCGCCCAGCGCATGCAGGTGCGGACTTCCGGTCCCTCAAGTAATAATGGCGCCCAGCACAGGCAGGTGCGGACTTCCGGTGTCTCAAATAGCAATGGCGCCCAGCACAGGCAGGTGCGGACTTCCGGTCCCTCGAGTAGCCATGGCCAAGCAGGGGACGGGGGAGGGGGGACCCGACAGACCGAAGGCCGAGTCTCTGGCCGCGCCGGTGCCCCTGGGTCCCCCTGGGTCCCCCTGGGTCCCCTGGGCCCCGCCGGGGCACCTGGGAGGCCGGCGACCAGGCTCTCCTCCGGGACCGGCCGGCCTCCTCCCCGCCGTTCCGAGCTGTCCCCGCGGACAGCGTTCAGGACGCAGGGTTCCAGCCAGGCGGACCCTGCGGCCCAGGGGCCTGGGGGGCGAGGACCTCCCTCCCGCGGCCTCCCCTGTCCCGCAGCAGCGGCCCGCAGACCCTCCCTTACCAGTGGGGATCCCGGGACCCCAGGCCCGGGCAAGGATGCCCGCAGGCCGCCAGGCGGCGCTGTTGCAGGAACCGTCAGTCCTGGGGGGCACGGGCAGGGGGTCCCTGCGGGAGGGGGGGTCCCTGAGGTGTGATAGCCCCACGCCCGGGTCCTGGAGGCCTCCATATCCCCACCTCCTCCCCGTGGCCCCCGGGGACCACCCCACCTCCTTAGGACCCGGTACAGGCGTTCACAGAAGTGGAGACGGGCCATTTCTGTCTCAAGAGGAGTTTCTAGTGTCTGATCGCACCTCTGTTCCTTCGGGGTGCCTTGTGCCTCAATTCAGTCATGAAAGGGTGCAATAGGAAAATCACCCTGGGTTAGCCTGGGACCTGAAGAAGCTTCAGAGACGAACAGGAGGGGTTGAGTGGCTGGGGCTGGGGGCACGGGAAGGGGGGCTTCAGGAGGACTCAATGGTCGCCCAGCTTCTGAGCCTGGGAGTCTTTAATAGACACTCCAGGCCACGCAGGTGAGCCCCCACTGGTGACCCCCCCTTCCTTCCCCCCTCTCACCCCCCTCCCACCTCCGTTCTCCTCTGAAAGGAGGAGATGGTGAGGGTAAATAAGCACATGGACAGCTATAAGGACCCCCTCTCTGGGGGTGGGAACTGCCCTCCCCTGCTTGCAGGGAGGTAGAGGCAAGATTGGAAATCAGGCCTTCTGACTCCAGCCAGAGAACCCTACGGGCTGTGGTGGAGGTTCCAGGGGGACATGGAGACCACGTGGAAGGGGGCTTCCCCGTGGAGGCCTTCTTCCCGTTCATCTCTGTTCACAGCCTCTTGTCAGGGTCACAGAGGAGTCACAGGGTCCCAGAGCTTGGGGTTACCGGGTTCCCTGGAGGTCCCATGGACACAGTGGGGACCTGAGAAATGTGGACTGGGTTCTCACCTATGGCTGATCATTCTTCACTCCAGCCCTGGGGACTCTGCCTCTTCCTATGTTAGCTCAAGAAAATAAGATTTAAAACAACTTTAAAATTTGAATTATTTTTTGTTACTTGAGTTTGAACTCAGGGTCTTATGCTGGCTTGGCTGGTACTGTACTACTTGAACCATGCCTCCAGCCTTGCTTGTATGACAGTTATTTTGGAGATGAAGACTTGTAGACCTTTTTACCTGGACTGGCTCCCAACTGTGATCCTCCAGGTCACAGCCTCCCGAGGAACTAGCATGAAAGTCCCCTGGGTAAATTTAGAAATCAACCTGAGGTTCACAAGGTTAGCTGAAATGCAGATGTTCCAAGGAATTCGCAGGATCCTTTATCCGTATTTGCTCTGCACACATCAGTTTTTCTAAAGTTTTTAAGGGTAAATCACATGTGTTGCCATCCTTTCCGCTTAAATACACACTCAAATGTATGTATGTGTCAGGGCCGGGGATTGTGGTTTATGTGATTGCAGTATTCTCAGTCTCCATTCATAGAACGCCTTCATCCTACAGACTGGCGATACGCTGAGTTTATCCACTGACCCAATCAATGTCCTTTATAGCAAGCCTTTCCTCGCTGTGTAGCACAGGATCTGGTGTAGGGACAGACAGTGCACTCCTGAACTGGATTGTCAAGTGCCTTTTGCTCCAGGAACCTGGAATATACGCCCAGCATTATTTCCTTGTCTTTTATGATATACTTGTGTAGCACAGGAGAGCCTCTACCCCCCCTTTAAAAACAACGTTCCTCATGCTTGTCTTGTGTGTTTGAAGTTATGCTGGGACTCAGCAGAGATCACAGTTTCTTCTCCAGCTGCTACAGCAGAGGGCAAGTGTAGAGTCAAGTGTTTGTCATAGGTCGAGCTGATTCTGCCTCTTCTCAACGCCCCCCCCTCCCGCCCCGGTACAAACAGGGGACATCGGGTAGTGGTTCTCTTTCAGAGATGGGGGGACTTTAAAGAGCCTCCAGGCTTCTAGCAGCAGGAAGGCCGACTTCAGGCCTGGGTGATGCTGGCGATTCCCACACTGCTCTAACTCCCTTCTCTCCATCCTGCCTGCCAGCCCCATGCTCTAAACCCTTCCCAAGGAATATTGGGGGCCAGAACAGCCTACCTTTTACCTCCTTCCTGGATTGGCTACACAGAAAAAAAAAGCACTAAGGTATCTTGTGGCAGGGCAGGGTTTGGAAAAATGGTTGTAAGGTGCTTTTATGTTTGGGCCACTTTTCTACCCTTGGACCACTGCTAAAATGCTGAAGTTCCAGGAAAAGCTGTTAAGCAGTATGCAGCACTTGGTGACAGCGCATGCAATCTGCCCGTGACTCCACCAGAAGGGAACTAATTGACATAAGCCAAGAGTTCCTTACAGAAGGTGCTATCTGTCCCCTTCCCCACGGGTTCCTCCTGTGCAGCTGAGTTCCTTTCTCTCTGCTCCATGCTGCCCTGCTGATGGGCAGTTGGTATGACACGCCTGATATTTTGTCCTCTGGGGAGACACATCTGTGTGTGTGTGTGTGTGTGTGTGTGTGTGTTTCTATATCTTCCTTGGCTCCTCGGTCAACACATACTTGTTCAAAGTGCTACAAGATGTTTCTGGAGAGGATTTATCTTGCCTACTTGACTCTTGAGAAGTTTCTCAAACACTTGTGGGTAATTACAAGCATTGTAGAAAACACGACATCAAAATGGAAACAATTTGGGTGACAAGACATGCTTTGGTTATTTTTGACCATTGAAATGGCAAGATTGGAAACCCTTTTAAAATCATGCTTTTTTTTTTTTAGAACATTATTTAAAAGGAAACTAACAGGATGATGATGATATTTTTGATGACAATGACAAGATCCATGGTTTTGAAAGGCATTTGGCCTCTCAGTCACTCATGCTTGGAATAATCTCTGAAGCTTTTCTTTCTTTGCATGTATCATGATAAACAAGCCACCAGGATTTAGCTGAGTACCTGCCTGGCGAATGCAGTGCCCTGAGTTCAATCCCCACCACTGCCAAAAAAGTTAAAAAAGAAAAAAAGGTTTCTAGAGTGTGTGTCTGTTGCTAGGTGTGCTGATCTTGTGTCATTCCTAAGGTAAAAATTGTCTAAAGAGCATCCTCCTTTTCCCTCATCAACATCTCCCAACTATTTCTTGGCCATCCCTTTGTTATCAGTTGTCTGTATTAGCCCTGTATGTGTTGGTTAAAAATAACCCTAGGAATAATCACAGCTCATTGAGTAACAAAGAGGTGTCAGGCACCTCCTGTGCCTTGTCTGTACTTGTTACCATGGCTCTGTAATTGCTACTACTACAACTTTCTGAGCCATATCCTGCCCACTTTCTGTTTTGTGAAACTGAAGGACAAAAGGGCTAGATAGTTGGTATAAACCAATTGGTGAAGCGGACATTTGAACCCAATGTTGGATGCAAAAATCCATTTGTTTTTTTATTGTACTTTGTAATTCTCCTTTACAAAATTGAAGGACAAGGACAAGGGAGGCTGTCCTTTCCCTTC